TGGCACGACTAAAGTTTTTGCTATCTCTTGATGGGTTTGGTTTTGTTTTTTCAGCCTAGGATGGCTTGCTTCACTGATAGACCTTTTATCTGCTCATTGCAATTGGGATAATGAGGGAATAACACACACCTGGCCATGGAACATGCTGAGAAGCCAATTGTTCCTCATTACTTTTGGTCCCCTAACAAGTGGGAGGCCACATATGCAAACTGTTGTAATTCCTACAAATACCTCACGTTCACTGATTGATTGGATGTAAATACCCACAAAATTAAAGCTGACAGTCTGCAGTTAAAGCACATCTATGTTCGTTTTAATTTCAAATCCATTGTGGTGGTGTATAGAGCCAAAAAATGTTAGAATTGTGTCGATGTCCCAATATTTATGGACCTGACTGTTATACCCCCTTCCTTACCAGGTGACCAATTTTCAGCTTTCAGCGCTGCCGCACTTTGATTGACAATTGCGCGGTCATGCAACATTGTAACCCATATGAAATTTTGATCATTTTTTTCTCACAAATTAGAGCTTTCTTTTGGTGGTATTTAATCGCCACTGGCGCTTTACTTTTTGCGCTATAAATTAAAAAAAATGCAAAAAAATTGAAAAAAAAAAAAAAGTTTATTTGTTTCTTTTATAAAATTTTTCAAACAGGTATTTTTTTCTCCTTCACTGATTTGCGTTGATGAGGCGGCACTGATGGGCACTGATAGGCGGCACTAAAGGGCACTGATAGGCAGTACTAATGAGGTGGCACGGATAGGCGGCACTGATATGCAGCACTGATAGGCGGCACTGATAGGTGACACTGATGATGGGTACTGATAGACGGCACTGACTGGCATCACTTCTGGGCACTGACTGGCAGCACTGACTGGCACAACCCCTGGGCACTGACTGGCAGCACTGCTGGGCTGCACTGGTGGGTGGCACTGCCCGGCTGCACTGGTGGGTGGCACTGGTGGGCGGCACTGGTGGGTGGGCACAGGTGGGTGGCACTGGTGGGCACAGGTGGGTGGGCACAGGTGGGTGGCACTGCTGGGCACATGTAGGTGGCACTTCTGGGCACAGGTAGGCGGCACTTCAGAGTGGCACAGGTGGGGGCACTGCTGGGCACAGGTGGGGGCACTGCTGGGCACAGGTGGGGGCACTGCTGGGCACAGGTGGGGGCACTGCTGGGCACGGGTGGGCGGGGCTAGTGGGCGCACTGCTGGGCGGAACTTGCGGGTGTCACTGCTGGGCACCGATCATCAGGGCACTGATCATCAGTGCCCTGATGATCAGTGCCGATCCCCGCTCTGACAACTGCCGGTTCTCGGCAGTACTTTCCTCACGATCTGACAGCGTGAGGAAAGTGCAGCCGAGAACCGGCACTTGCATTTCCCTGTGATCA